AGATCCTCTGTTCTTATCATTTTATTCTGTTCTTGACTCTTCCATTTGTCGACTGAGTTCAGGTTGATGCTGCCATGTACGTCATTCTGTAGTTGTTATGTGTTCTTGTTGGTTCTCAGTCCACAGAACTTCCTTTAGGATTAAACTCATGTATTTTGTCTGTTAAAAAGACTTTCATAAATTCTCCACGGGACCAGTGACCCCAAAGTAATACAGCGCCAATGTTTCCTTCCAGGTTACAATAAGGGGAAACTGAGGCCCAGAAGGCCTTGAATGGGGTCAGAGTTCAGCCCGGACATCTTTGGACTTGAGGTCTCAGTGAAGAGGGCTGAGAGGATTTGGGAATCCTGGTGTGGCACCTAGGGTATAAGCACTGGACCGAAAGGTGAGTTTGAACCACAAGGTCGGCGGTTCAAATGCTCTAGCCACTCCTCAGAAACCCCATACAGGGTTGCTATGTGTCAAAACCCACTGGACAGCACTTAACAGCAACACACTCCTTTAGGGGACCTCTTGTCCACCAGAGGTTCTACGTAGTGACTGGGATTCCGGTGACAGTGGGGAATAGGGGTCCCGGAGCCCCCTTGACTTTGTCTCTAAGGGTCAGGCTGAACGTGATCTCCTAATAGAGAGGTTTTCAGACCTGGCTGCTGGTTAGAACTTTCCAAAAGCTTTTTAAAAGTCCGGATGACTAGGATGCCCGCCCCGCCCCGTTCCCCCTGCGGTTCTTGCGCAGTTGAGCGTTGAGAACCACGTCCATAAAAACAGCAAACCCCTTTATGTAAAACTGAGAAAGCGCGCTGGCCACGTGATGGTGATGTTGGTTTTTAGGTGAGTGTGGTTTGGGGTACTCAGGGTGGTCATTGAGGCTCCCTCGGGAGGATTTGGAATTGCACCCCGGCAGCGGGGAGTGCGCCGTGCCAGGCTGACCACCAGGTGGCGCCCGATCACCAACTTGGGCTCCTGGACCCTCTGATTTGGGGGAGAGGATGTGTTCCGCTAGCCTTTCCGGGGTTCGTCATGCGTTCTTCGCACTTCATGTCCTCGCTTGCGTTCATCCATCATGCATTCATTGCTGGATGGAGTCAGGCTGCCATACTCTAATGAGGGCAGTTCTACTTTGGAGCTGTGAGAATCTCCCCTATAGCGATGGCTTCAGTGAGGAGGCTTCTTCGGAGGGTTGCTGTAGAGGTTAAATGAGACCCTACAGCAAAGCATGTCCTCTTCAGACCGGCCTCTGGCGACTACTGTACTTCATAGGATTTCAATGACGGAGTTTTCAAAAGCAGACTGTCAGGCCAGTCTTCTGAGTCATCTCTGGGTGGATTCGAACCTCCAACCTTTCAATTAAGAGCCAAGTGCAGTGCTTGCACCCTGTAGGGACTCCCAGGAAAAGCATGGAGTTTTATTACTGTAAAAAGGTACCCTAGAGGTGCAATTTTCCAGAGAAAGATGAGACTTTCTGTTCCCCTCAAAATAGAGGTACAGTCTTGGAAACACTATACTGGGTCACTATGAGTCGGATTCAAGAGCAAAGATGTCAGTGTGAGGACTAAGGTGCCCCTGACCCCAGCCATGGTCTTTTCCGTCAGCTCATATGCATGAGAAAGTTGGACAGTGGCTAAGGAAGACCATAGAAAAATTGATGCATCTGAGTTCTGGTGTTGGAGGAGAATATTAAAAGCACCATGGTCCACCAAAAGAGCAAGCAGATCTATGTTAGAAGAAGTACAGCCAGAATGCTCCTTGGAAGCTAGGATGGCCAGACTTTGTCTCTCATACTTCGGACATGTTATCAGGAGGTATCAGTCCCTGGAGAAGAATATCATGTCTAGTAAAGTGGAGGGTTGGAGAAAAAGAGGAAGACCCCTGAATGAGCTGGATTGGCACAGTGGCAGCAAGCAATGGGCTCAAGCGTAGCCACGATTGTGGGGCCAGAGCAGGACTGGGCAGTGTTTCGTTCTGTCATGCATAGAGTGGCTATGAATTGGTACCAACTCTATGGCTCCCTAACAACAACAACAACAGCGTGAGTTGGAACCTGCTCAGTGGCACCTAACAATAAGTGCTGTAGTTAAGCACTCAGCTGTTAATGGAAGAGTCAGTGGTTGGAGCCCACCAGTGATTCCACAGAAGGTCTAGTCCAGTGGAGAAAAACCCTATGGGAATCCACCACAGGAGACAGGAAGGGTGACATTTGCCCCCAAAGCTCAGAAGGCAGGAAGGGACAGGAAAGAAAAATGTATGGAGACAGGAAACCCGGGGAAGAAATGATGAGTGTTGTTACTTTGAGGGGATTGCAGCAAAGTTACGAAACAATATGTGGATAAATTGTTGAATGGAAAACTAATGTGCTCAGTAGACTTTTACCCAAACGACAATGAGAAGCAATCAAACCCTATGTGGTAGGATTCTGACA